AAAAAAAAAAAAATAGAAAAATATCATGAATGCAATTTAGCAAGAAAAGCATTCTGTAAAATTAATATTAAGTTAATTCTGTTTGGCTAAAATTAATGTGCAAGTAGATAACGGATTTTTGTGCATTTAAGAATAATTGAAAGATGCAAAACAGAATGCATGTAGTACACAAAAAATCTTTTAATAATATTGTATTTAATAACAATACTGTATTATGTGTAAATATAAATCAAGTATTATGAAGAGAGGAGATGAAAATAATAAAAATTCATAAACTACAACATTAAATTTTCCAATACTTCCCTTCTCTTACAAAAAAAAAAAAGAAAAGAAAAGAAAAATAGAAAACTTCACATATTAATAGATCACAAAACACTCAAATTCAAGTTGCCAAACTACCAAATATACCTTGCTATAATTTACATCATAACCCATACATCACAATCACGAACGAATCAAAATCTTTCTAAAAAGAGAAAAAAAAAAAAAAAAAAAAAAACGGAAAATTTCGTTCTTCGCTCGTAAAAAGATCCAATATCCACATTCCAGTTCTCAAACTGTCAAAGTTTTCTTTCCATGACTTATATGACGAAAGGATCGCCGGTTATATTTATATATCAGTGAGCAACCACAATTGCGAACGAATCGGGAGCGTCAAGACGGCCAAGATTCTCGCAGAGGCAGAAAGTCACGCGAATTTCAACCTTGCGGGCCATTGTCGGGCGCAAGAAACAGGACAGGAAGAAGCGACTATGGGCGGGCGATGTTCACGAAATGCCGCGGCACGGCACGGGTGGTGCGCGCTCGTTGAAATGCGCCGCTCTTTTATAACGCGCCAGCGGGCTTACACCGCGCGCGCCGCTCGTTAACGCGGCCATCAGTTTCACGCATCGCGCTGCAAAAAAGCACGACGACAATGCGGAACGTGGCCGACTCCCCGCTGTTGACTTTTCCGGTCTCTCTTCTTCCCCTGCTCTCCCCCCTCGCCACTCTGCCGATCTACCAGCTACCGGTTGTCCGCCCTTTTATTTCTGATTTTTCAATTTCTACCCCTTTCGCATTACGCTCTCGCCCGTGTCCGCGGTTACGAATCAGTCGATTCTTTCATCGGCGACGATTGTTCCCATTTCCACGAAAGCGATCCCGGTCGGCAAACAAGCAAGAGCCGCTTAATATCTGCTTCCGCGAAATAGAGCGAACGAGTGTCGATAGATAGACTTTCGATTTTGCGCTCGTCGAAGAGCGCTTTTTGGTAAATTTGGAGGGGGGGATTTTGATATAAATTTATGGTCCGATTAAAAAAAAAAAAAAAATAAAGATGACCTTGGAAATTTCGAAACCCACAAAAAATTGACACGCCATATTTTGCCTGTCTTGAAACCATGGCATGAAGCTTTCGTATTAAACGTAATTTTTCATTAGACGCATAATTTAAAAGTTATTTCAGGTGTGCAAGTTACCTGAATCACCCTGTATATATCATGAATTGATTATTTAACAAATACAGCCAGCCTCTACGTGACACGTTACTCTCGCATTGTTTCCAACTTAATTACTCCAAATTCGTTTGGCAAGAAATCCAAGAAGACCCGATCCCGTTGCTCGCTAAAAATTATCCAAATTATAGATATTATTGGAAATTATCCAGATTATAAATAAAGGCGCGACAATCGCAGATGATTATAAGAACGAGGGATGAAATTTCCAAGTGAACGCGTTAAACGAATCGCGTCATCTGATTACCAGATTAGATGTGGTTCCGCTACAATCACCGTGAAACATTTCGGCCTGGATGGCCACCGCAGACCAAACAAAGTGTCTGCCGATGAATCACGGCCGACGTGACGCGCAATCGTGCGCGGATAATTTTCGGAAAACGCGAACGGTATAATGCGCAATGACGAACGGCGAGCCGCGGCGAAACGACCGTGGAGAATTTTCGCGTCGCCACCGCTAACTAACGGTAAATCTCTTGGTTGTTGTTGTTGTTGCAGGTCTGCTCAGGCTGCAACAGATCTATCAAGGCTTGAAACCGGGCAACGAGTCGTTTCAGGTGGAAACGGTGAAGAGAATACAAAACATGTCCGAGGCGATCGATTTCCTGCGCAGCTTGGAAGAACTGAACAGGTGAGTTTGAGAACATTTCACTTGCAGCAGTTAGTCTGCTAGGGATTTTTTCACAGAGCACTTCAACAATATGATGTAAAATGGACGAAACATCCGAGGTATAGCGCTTTCTCTGATATTTCGCGCCTTAAAGTAATTTTCTATACTTTCCAAAAATATAAATTAAATAAGATCCGAATTAAATGAATTGAATAAATTGATTAAATGAGGTCCGCAGTTTCGATGTAACTAGAAAAATGAAATTCAAATAAGGTATTACACTGAATATTCTACTTTTGCAGATATTTTGCATTGTCTGCATTTTTTGCAAATTATGTTCAAATTTCTTACGACCATGTAAAAGTTCGCAGTCCAGAGATAATATTATTTTGTCGGTAATTAGCTGTATTCGAAGATTAGAATATTCGGGGTAGTAACGAATACACGACGAATAATATTTCGACCGATCGTTGAACTTCGTTAAGCTTTTATTTTTAACTGTTATGGATGAATGCTCGCAATCGTGCAACTTGGAAATTAATATTTACGTCGGAATAACAATGCCGAGCGAAACAATAAAAATTATTAGGAGGAATAAACGATTTACTCGCGGAACTGATTAATTTCCATAACAGGTTATTTCGCGACTTTATTTCGTTTTGACCGTCGGTTATTTTTGTCATCAAGGGTGACGGAAGATTCAATCACAGTTGAAAATAAAGTTAGAGATCGTAAAAGGAGAAACACGTGTAATACAAACTGTGATACAATTCTCCCTGAGGTAATCGTTTCATCCGCCGAGTTTACAAATTCGCAACGAAAACCAAGGACGCACGATCACTGGAAATATTCTGCAAATGTAACATTAACTTCTGATTGTTTACAAAACAGTCTCACTTTACCTGTCAAACTTATAAAATCCATCAAAAATAATTATGCATTAACATTAATATTCGAGAATATTCTGCAATTAATAATAATCTGCACAGGATAAAGAATGGTACAACGATAAAAATCGGGAATTTCGATAGTCATTTTATCCATCAAATTTACATATTTCCTTCGACAAAGGATACAAGGAACCTGCGAAAGCATTCTGTCAATCTGTATGGAGCGGCAGGTAGACTTGCCGCGAAATAAAGCGAACAATGAAAAATTCTCCACAGGGTGGTCGGCGGGCATATTAGTGTAGCTTTATTTTTCGAACAGTGGAATCCGGCCGCAAATTTCGGACAGACTGACGGATCACTCGCTTTTGTGCGAGCACGAGCGGTCACCGCGTATCTCGGCCGCAATTTACCACTGGCCACGCATTTGCACGAGCCGGGTAATCAACAACCAGCCTGACAATGAGGCCGAATCGAATGAACGTTCCCCGTTACCGAAAACAAAACGTAACTATCGCGAATCGTCGCCGGGTGAACGGCTCGTTGCACAAGCGACTTTATCGTTGGAGAAACGACGCGGCTGGAATTATGTAAATTCATTACCGGGTCCCGCGGGGTTGTTAGGACCTCTCCCGTACCAGGAGAAGTCGTGAAATATTTCACGAAATGGGAACGACAACGAGCGTTCCTTGTTTAATTGTCGCACCGACTTGTACGTGATACCGCCCGTGCAAAACGAGAACACGAAGAATATCCCGGGGACGAATCGGAAATTGAAAAGTTTGCGTGACACAATCTATATATATTATTATATAAATATCTGTGATAATATTAATATTTATGAGAATATTTATAATAACATATTTATAAGAATATTTCAATATTTAAATAGTGAAAGAAGAGTATATGAATAGGCTTTCCGAGATCGTTTGAATATCACATATATATTTCGTTTTATTTTATCAAAGCGTAACGTGAAATTATTTATTTCAGATCTTGTTCGAGTACAGAAAAAAAATGCAAGTTTGTTATTTGAAGTATTGAAAGATTTTCAAAAGAGCACAAAAATGTTTCTACCGTGCAATACACGCGAGAATGTTGGAACTTTGAAATTTCTTGCAGTAAGAAGAAGATTACTCGCAAATCTGATATCGTTCATTTTTTGAAAATTTCAAAGATCACTCAAATTTTCGTCGATATGCCGCTACGGTCACCGAACGATAAGAAACTCGTTTCAAATGTTACAGCGAAATTACATGATGCAAATCCTTTGCAGATGGAGTAATAAGTACGTGGTACTCGATTGTCCCACGGACATGGCGAAAGATATCGTGGTGAGCCACGTGAGGGATGTTGCACTAGGGAAAAGAACGTACCACTATTTGTTAAGTGGATTGGTGAGTATTTACATTATAATTAAACAGTATAGTAAAAACAACGATTCTCTTCATTCACGTAATAATCAAGATATACTCTGTTTTTATAATTTGTAATTTGAAGGAAAATCATACGATTCCTTCACCTGTAGACTTCCACAGAACTAATTGAAACATCCTAAATATCAGTGTATTCCTCTAATCATATTCCTCTGATCTAAAATTGAATTCCATTCCCAAAATTTGTGTTTCTTCTTCATTAAAACAAAGCTGCAACAACGAAAACGAAGCTATTCATCTCACAAAACAAGTATTATCCAGATAAAAAAGAAATCCCATGTTCTTAAAAAACAGTTCAGGATTAAATAAAAAGAAAGGAA